CACCCTACACATAAAGCAGCAACTCCCTGCTGGCTTCAGACTAGGTAATTATGTTGTAACAAGGACTTAGGTTTCCATTATAACAAAGAGATGAAAAGGAAAAGAGATCTATGAAACCAGCCTATCTTTTAGGGTGTGTCTCACCTGCAAATCAAGAGAAGCAAATATAACATGCTTAGGAGTTTCTGAGTGAGCTTTAATTTAGTTAGTTTCAGTACAGATTGCAGCTTCTACAGAGACTGCATAAATGCCACCAGGAATCCTGGTTTTTACTCTAACACAAATAGTCCATGCTTGAACAGGCATGTTACACCTACAGTCACCAAAATTAGCACAATCACATTTATCTTAGGTTGCAGAGCACATATACATGAAGGTGCAACTACAGAGCATGCATACTTTAATGTATGCTATATACTGGTATGACAAATTGAGTTGCAGATACAGTTCCACAGGGGACACAGCTCATCTTTCTTAACATACAGATCTCCTTCACTGCGTGAGTTGAAGCTACTACAATACACAACACAAATAATGATTTTATAATTTTCTGCAATAGAATGGATCATGATTAAAATGTGAGATGGTAAGTGAAAAAGTAGAAAAACAGTGATAATGAAAAATATAATACAAATTACATGGGATCAAACACTTTATTCTCCTCAGTCCTCATACCTGTAAAACTTTGAGAAGTATACAACTATACAACTGTACATAAGTAAGTGTACTAACCCATGGAAAACTGCCAGGAACACTAACAGCTTCACCTCCAATTCAGGAACATAGGAAAATATACATTTACTGATATTAAAGTGGTACACGTTTAAAACTAAACATATATTTAAATGTTAGGTAAAAATATTTTAAATCAGCACAGGCTCAATTGTTCTCTTATGTAGGGACACAGAACAGTATGCATTTAACTGCCTGCCTGGACAAGGACTCATAGGAAGTCGTTCAGCCTTCCACCTAGCCACTCGTGTTATGGCCAGCAGGCACCACACAGCCAAGCGACCAGAAGGCACATATGTACAACAAACATGGGCAACAAAAAGCAATGTGAATAGAGACTGGCACAAAGGGAAATACAAAGAGATGAAGAAAGACATCAGGCTACACAAAGGAACCTCAACACAGCAAGAGTCAGTGGGTAAACTACACTGACTTCTATAAAGGACACAACTCCTGTGGGGTCACAGACACATAACTCCCCTCTGGCAGAAGGGAAAAGTTATCTTGCATCAAACCCACACCTAGACTCCCCCGGTCTTTGCAGCCCGTATTGCAGCTATCTGACAACCAGCGGTTTCCCCAAAGCTGCTTCTCCTCTCCCTCATCTCCTTCTGCTCAAAGTAAAGAGTGAAAGATGGAGAAAAGCTCAGATTTCTAATATAAATTCAGTTATAACTTCACCTTGGAGAGGCTGCCATATGGATCATAGTGGTTTGTAAATGCTCTGACCTAAAGAAAAAAAAAAAGCATGCAAACCAGACAAATTAAATTTAATTTTATTATGGAAATGAAAGTAGTAACAGAAGTGACAGCAGGGTGGATGATAAGCTCACTTAGCAGGGGGATCAAATGAAGTGATGACATGTCATTATGACCTCAGGGGTTAAAGATGCAATTTTCCATCTGGCTGCATCTGGCTTTTCAACATAAATGTTGACACCACCTGCTGAGATTTACTACAAGCTGCCTCCATAGGTCTTTGTCTAGCTTCTGTTACCCAGGTTAACATTTACTTCTCCTTCTTTTCTGATAAGTTTTGCTGAGCAACATGCTCCCTTTCTTCAAAACTCAATGAACAGGTAAAAGGATTTTACACGCCACTTTATACAATAGATCAAGTTATTAATAGTAACTTCCCAAGCAGCTCAAAGAGGGATACTAGAAACCTAGAAAGCAGGTAAAACTAGCTCTAAGATCGCAAAGAGGAAGATGAAATTTTAGCTATACTTGCTAACATCTTGCATCGTCTAAAACTTCTAGGAGTCTACTTTTCTCTTAGCAACAGGTACCCAAATAAAAAAAAAATTAAAAACCTTAGAATTAAACTAGCCTGTACTCCCCATACCCAATTGGCTATTAGCCACCTGCATGTGTTTTATTCAGCAGCTTAATCATTTCCAATTCCACATACATTGTGTTTAAAATAAATCATCTTTTGCAAGCCCAGTGACACATTCACTTATTCATCTCATTTAGCCACAGCCAAACTATGATCTCAACCCAAATTTGTAATCAGCTATTGACACACTGTTGGCTGTAAAGTTTTTGTTTCCACACTGAATATTTAAAAGTTACTAACTACCAGTGGTGTTCCTCTTCTGGAGGCTTAATCTGGAATAGGACTGTATGCTTGCTACCACTTGAGTCATCCATTACATTTTTGCCTGTGCCAAACTTTTTTCCGAAACCTACAGCTCCCAAGCTTTTCTCTGCCAGTACAGGTGAGCTAAAAAGCTTGCTTCCCACTGTTTTTAAAGTGCCCAGATGCTTCAGTAAAAAGAATCTACAGTCTGTTTTAATTGTTTAAAATAAAGAGGCCTCAATCTTCACTAGGACTTGGTTAAATAGCAGGGAAACAGGGGAAGAAAAACCCTTCACAGGTTTTGAGAGCACCCTGGGACTACAGCTATGAAAAGAGAAAGTGGAGACAAAGAAAGTTAACGAAGCTTGCATGGAGCAAAGAGTAGCTAAGAAAGAAAACAGGGAAAGTATCCAGACTGATCGGACACGCAAATAACTTCATTGAAAGACCACCACAAAAATACCTATAAATACCTTCCCCTCCCAAAACTCTTTCACCACAAAGGCAACTACCAGAGGGATGTCATAACCTTCGTCCCTGGAATGGAAGATGTACCACCCCCCTCTCCAGATGCCTTACCTCGGGGAGCTGGGAGCCCTTGTACGTAAGACAAGTCACCACCTACTTCTAGATCTGTTAAGGTATTTTCTGAATGACAAGTGAACTTTGTTGTTCCCTTCAACGTACGGAAGAAAAGCGTTCCTGTTTACTTTGCACATGCTTAACCTGAAGCACATGCTTCACTGCTAAACTGAACAGGAATGACTTCAGCATATGCTTAAATGCTTTCCTGATTAAGACCCTAAAAATCGGAATGGTTTCTACCATTTCTCTTTCTCTTGTTCTCCTAATGACAGGCAGCTATTTTGCCATGTCGTTATGACGCGAAGATAGCTTAATTGTCCTCTTTCCAGAAGCTGTCAGTTCTGCTTAACTGGTACATAATGTATGCGCCTGGGAGTAAATGTGTTAATACATCAGTCACTTATATCTACCATACATTTTCCTCTGCTGTATTTAAAGAAAGCCTTGGTTTTTATGACTGACTTGCTAGACATTATATTCATCGACATGGGCAGCAGTTATGTTACTGTCTCATGACTCATTTCTTTGTGAAGGATGCATGAAATAACTTTCTCCTTCTTCATTTACTGCACTTTTTCAACTCGACTTCAACCTGAATATGCATTTCCCCATAGTTATATTAAAGGTGTGGCCAAAAAAGGCGTCCTCAAAAATAACAGCGTAGAATGAACTGGCTGTTCCTGTAATTAATCAGGATTGATGAATCAAAATGTTTGGAAACACTGGTAGTTGCTTTAGAATATTTTGTGCATTGTTTTGCTATAGTAACATAGTCATTGAAAGCTTACAGAGAAGAATAAGAATCAACAATATCTACAACATGTAATAAGCAGCTATGAACTTTAATTCTCTAAGAAGTACTGGTAAGGTCCCACCTAAATATACAGTCTATGCAAGCTGGGTCAACTCTCTTTCATACTCCCCTTCCTGATCACGATTATTACCAAGTGTCCTCTACATCCCCTCACTGCTTCTTCTGTCTTGTGCACTTAAGAAGGGTTTTTTTTTTCCCCTCATAGTCTCTCGTTAAGTTGTGAACTGCAATGCAAAGGCTATTTTTAACCATTGTTTTACGAGGCTGCATGTTGCTATATTAACAAATGTGACAGTGGCATTTTTTTGCGTTTATATTAGCAAGGCCTTCCTTTTCAGAGAAATATTATTTGCAACTCTCATACTTTTGTGGGCCTTCAGAGAAGGGTGTGAACAAATAAAAAGTAAGGGAGAAAAAACAAAAGCTGTGTGAAAAATAGAATCAATTTGACAAGAACGATATCAAGCTTAGTAAGACCTGAGCATGTAGCTCACTTTGTTCATTTAATCTGTATATTACTCTTTTCCTACCAATACTTCGTTCCCAACATCACAAACTCAAAGTTCCCAAGACTCTGGAAATAAGTAAAGCCATGCTGACTCCACTGAGAGAACACAGGTGAGACACAGAAATGCTGATGTGTAAGGACTTGCCTGGAAGTGACAGTCACTGTTTCCTCTCAAGTGAAGCCAAAGCATATTGCCAGGGAGAGTGAGCTGGCAAGCACCTACAGGGCCAAGAGTACACAGCGCACAGATTTGTGACACTTACTCTAGTGTTAATAATCAATTGGTACAACTGCTACAGCCCATAAATCAACTTTTTCATAGATATAAATGGTTTGCATGTGTGTCTGACTAGAATCGAAAGTTGTCAATTCTATTGGAAGTTATAAATTCAATCCTGAACTAGGAGTTGCTTCCAACCTTTTTCCTAATGTTACATAAGTGCTATATAAACATTTTTTTTCTAAGAAAGATCGCAATAGAATGAAAATTCCCCAGAAGCTGTTTTTTCCCCCCAAACCATTAATATATTAATGAAAATTCACATTTATATTTAAAATGCAATCCCTCCACCTCCTCTCCAATGATGTCACTACATAATAAAATGCACTGAATGTCTTCGTTTATGTAGGAAGAATAGCTGGATAGCCAAGGTTACTAAATGAAAAAGACTGATCACATTTCCATTTATAGAAGATAGCATTTCTTTTGATTTTACTGATACTTGTTCATAGGTGAAGTATGCTAAAAACATCTCCCACATCAATGACTGCCTAAGACCTTACTTGGTTTTTTGAATCCAGATGCAATAGTCGGTAATAAAGAGGTCATTAAGGATGTAGGCAGGGTCGTTCTCCATAAAAATCTTGTGAATGTCCAGCAGACACTTCAAAACAGCAGCTTTTCCTGAAAATAGATTTTTATTTTTGTAATTCACTCAAAATCATAATAGATAATCTTTACCATCTTCTCACTTTTGAGGCTTTAATAACCATGCTATCTACAACCACCTTGTAACTTTAAGTTGATTCACAGTCTCAGAATGGCAGTAATACGACTATGCCCTTCAGTATCCACATCTATGTGGATGCGGAGCCCCTGAATTCAGTAGGAATCTCTCTGCAAGACTAAAGCCTCAAGGCATAGTCATGCGTGTAATTCTCTACAGCTGAAGGAGTGCCCTCCCCCAGCTTTTCGACTTCTCCGAGCTGTGCTGACCCGCACTTCAGCACAGTCATACAATGAACCATATTTAAAAAAACCCAAACAACAAAAGGGGTCAAGCTGAAAAGTAACTCACAAATAACAAAAAGTTACTCCCCATCATTTATCTGAAGAAAGAGAAAACCTATTTCCCTGTATGCCTACACAAATACCTGTGTGGGAAAACAATAAGGTTGGGAACACGCAGCCCACAGCAGGGTCAAGCACGCAGAAGCCACAGCAATTGTGTAAGCCAATGTAAGCGATACCGTCGCCTAAGATCTATCCAGTGCCTTAAATCAAGCAGAACTTTTCCTACTTCTGTAAGTTACAGAATAATTTGGCAAATTGAACCCTCAGAAAGAAAAACTCACTTCAGGCTCAAGAAGGTGCCATTTGACATAGAGTTGATAAATGCGGTGAAAGATTAAAACCTAGAATGTTTTCTCATTCCACAACCAGAAATCTTTCTGTAGTCAGTTTAATTTTCTTCATATGCAACCCTTGTTTATGAAGAAGAGACTTGATTAACGTAACCTCCTCCCTTAGTTTTCTGATGAAAGCTGCTAAAGGGTTAAGTGCTAGAACACACAAAAAAAATATTTTCACTGTTTAATTTAAAAAAAAATTTTTTTTTTTTTCAAATGAAAACAGACACTACTGCAAATGGAATCTAATAACCCTCTCCCAAGAGGCTGGCTCGTCCTAGGCTATGAAATCTGAACATGGATGAAATTACATTTTAGAGATTTAAAAACAAAACCAAAAAACCACAGAACTCCCCCTGCTGTTCAAGCACAAAATTTGTTTGTTTGTTTTTAAGTAATTCTGTGCTGAAGAAAATATAGACAAAGAAAGAAAGTCAAAGGATGTGAAAGATGGCAGTAAGGAGAAAGAACCTGGAGAGTAAAAAGCCATGGCCAACAGAACTGAAAAAACCCACTGGCTTGGAAGAGGGCAACTGAAGAAAAGTCAGGAAAGAATGCAAAATAAAACACAAAATCCCAAATATAACCGACGAACTTTTAGATTACATCACCATTAATGCTTGACAAGCCAAACTTGTCAATCTTAGCTATTTTGACTAAAAAGAAGTGTGCTCTTTTAAAAAGAAATGATATGTGGAATTAAAATTTTGCTAATTTTTTTGGTTCTAGCTGTCAAGCTGCCAGCCAGAACCATTTACAACATCCACAACTGTTACTCATCTGCCAAGTAACAATGTAAATTAGTGACTATAACATTCATTTCCAATGAAAAGTTGTCTTTCTTCATAAATTAAAGTTTTATAGTACCTTAATGGGCCTCTGTCAGAGGGGTTGCAAATCTCCCAGCCTTAATAATATAGCGAACCCTATACAGAGAACATAGCAAACTACCAAACTTCTGATTTCAGAATGTAGGTCTTAATACATGCAGCTTATAAACAAGAAGTCCTTTATACAAAATTCCATTTAACTCCTTATTGCAAGAATAAAAAAATAAGAGCTGCAGAGCAAACACTATGTAAGCCTTACTGTAGGCTATTCCATGACATACAGATGATTCTTGGCCTATTCCTCTGAAATTCCACACGACAGGTTCTGTCTTTGGCTATCTACTTCAGTCTTCAGTAGACATCTGGTCTTAACTTTCAGGCTGTGGTTATATATTCAGTACTATTATTACTTACACTGGCTTAAGTACTCTTTGTTGCACTCCTTTGCTTCCCTCTTTTCCACAGCTCTTTGTGATCTGCCAGTGCAAGTATTCGTGAAACCATACAGTGAGCTGGGTCGGGGAACTGAAGCCAAAAGACAAACAGGCTCAGGGCTTTTTTGGCAGTTATGTCAGTCCAACTCACTCAGAGGATGTCTATCAAAGCAAACCTAAAATGTGCTAGTTTTAAAAGTCTTACTTCTTTTGTAGCCCTAGGATTATAATTTTTTTTTAAATTCACTGTATGCTGGAGTTAAGAAAGCCATGGAATAGAAGATGAAGACATGCCAAGGATAAACAATTTAATTTTCTTCACATAGCTTAAGGAGGCAAGCACTTTTAAGTTCAAAGGTGAAGAAGAAAAATCATTTGTTTGGAAAAACAGCAATAAATGTTTAAGAGCAGGCACAAGAAACTTTTATAATAAACTCAGGAAAATATTAAGTCAGTTTTTGCATATCTTGTGTAAAGTTACAGTTCTGCGTTATTCTGATGAATAAATACACCACTTTTTATGTACAGATACTGTTTCCTGATTATTCAAAAAGCCAACTAGTTATATTTAAAAGTACAAATAAAAAGATTCCAACTTCTGTAATAGAATCAAAAGTATTTGATCTTCTAAGCTATTAAAATATAAGATGTAGAACTTAAGACAGACTCTAATACCCTCGATTTTTTGGCATTAAGATCTGTGTTAGAGGTAAAGGAGGGTAATAACCAACTTGAAATTGGGACATATTGCAAGATGGGATAGCAAATCTACATACTAACCCATTGTTTTTCTGAGACAAAGGTGGTTTTCTTTTCTTGTCATTAAAAAAAAAAAAAATCACTACACTGCTGTTGGGGAGAGGATGAGTTGCAACTTCAGAGGAAAAGCAGTAGAGAGGCTGACCAGACAAGGCAAAAATCATAAAAGTCAGAACATATGTCCACAGATCACAAGATTCTTCTGGAGTTCATTGCTATGACAGCCCAGAACTTTAATCCTACAGTTTCAGAATTCTAGTCCTTTTTCCAGATAACTTCAAAAAAGGATACAATTTGACCCCAGCTCTGTATCTGCCACTTGATATAACCACCTACTGATTTTACACCATGATGAAATTCTACCAGCTTTCATACTTAGCATTTGGAAGCAAAGGACATTAACAGTCCCATCATTCTATTTTACATTATTTTTCCTGCATGCTTCTGTATGGTTTTCCACATTTTCAAGAAGGAGGGGCATTCATCTAAAAAGGTAAACTGAACTTTACTGTCTCATTAAAAAGACAGAAGAACAGCACTCTTAGAAACAAGAAAAGAACTCTTATGGACTTCAAAATGAAAACGTCCTGCTAATAACTTAACCCAGCTAGGCAACAGTGCTACCTATTTTTAATGGATAATTATATAATCCTAAATCTATTAGTGTTAACTTCTGAACGGGAAGAAGCAAAGCGTATTTTATTCACAGAAAAGAGCACAAATTAGTTCTCTCTTCATTATTAGCTCATAGACAGTAACTTCCAAATCAGTATTACACAGTGGTAACACAGTGTCAGTAAATACTGACAGAACCAGCCCACACCACTTACTTATTACTGGAAAGAAAAAGGGCTCCATATGTTTACATTAAGAACACACCTAATAAATTTTTGTTAGTCAACTGTCAAATGCAGTATATACATTTTGTTGGAAATAACATTGTCGCTGGATGTACCACTGCATTTAATTCCCTTTTCTAATCCTATCCAAAGAACAGCTAAATATAGTAGATAACTACGCTGAATTTTGAACAGTTTTGCTGAAGTATTTTAAGTATTATAGATCACTAAAACAGCATATTAAAAAAAAAATCTGCTGAAGACCTCAACATTAATCAGCTTAATGCATTTGTCTTGCAATTAAAACTTTGCCAGGAAGTCTTAATTCAAAATAAAGTGTTTCAACCACACGCAAGGATCCTTAATAGCTTAAAAATGCAGTATCCTGTATTCACATCCTGGAAGTGATCCACCAACACAGGACTAATATTTTTAAAGTCAAGTCACACAACTTGAAGCCTAGCAATTCAGTCCCATCCAAATTCTTTACTATATTTAAATAAATGAATTTACTGTGTTAATTATTATTGAAAAATTGTATTACACTATGTCCCCATTTCTGTGACCAGCATCCTAAAAGAAACCTCAAGTCAGGATGAGGTCAAATCAAACCAATTCTTCCTTGAAGTTAAACACCAGTCCTCTTGGATCCACATGAAAAGGATTAGTTTTGTGGTACTATTTAGTTGAATTGATTATCTGTTACTTGACAGTCATTTTTACCTGCGTTCACCACACACAGATTGCAATACAGTGTCAAACCAGCAAGGCGTCATTTCCAGTAAACAGAGAGGGTAGTATTTAATGCTGTCTGTAACTACTAGGCTTTTGCACATTGCATAGCTTGTAAGTATGCTGCAAACCCAGAAATTCCCCAAAAGCATGGCTCAATTTCCCCTGAAGTTTGAAGGAGGAAACATTTTGACTGAACAAATGCGCCTTGGCAGTACAAGCATTATCTGTAACTCCCATTTCTTTTAAGAATACTTTGACACACTTTTTTTTTTTTTCCCCCTGCTTCTGATTATAGACAGGTAATACATCCATCTTGTCTTTCCCGGTTCTTCGGTAGTTGGCTATTTAAAAAACTTGGCGCTTTTCACACTTTATATGCACCATAGTAGTAAATACTAATTCAATACACAAATCCCAGAACTTTCAGAAGTTAACATTAATCACCATTACTTTTATCACTACACTGCTAACTTGCTAATGTCGCTCCCAATAGATTTATGTCCACATGACAGAAGTAATATATTTGTGTCTGCTTCCAAGGCAACACCTGGAGGTTATCACAGCTCATACTCAAGATAGTGTCCTCTTCTCCACTATTAACAACTCCAGTGGAAATGGGCACATGTTCTCTTTTCTTGAGGCTGGCACGTGCCTTTTGCAGCATCTTGAGGGTCCGTGGCCAGTGCAGCGGAGGTACCAGTCGCCCCATCCTGCAGTCTCCCAGGCAACCAGCACAGCACAGACACGTGCAGAATGAAGCCAAGACCTGCTGCATTTCCTAACTTCTTCCAGTGCTCCTAAACCATTCTAACCGACAATTAAATAAAGTCAAATTTCTGTTAAAGCTATGAAAGTAATCTTTACACAGATCACCGACGCCAGAAAAACTAAGGCTAGCCTAACTCCCGTGCCAGTAGAGAATGAGTTAGCATACCCAAACTACTCCTCCTGAGGACACGGGGACTTTGCTGTTGGAGCAAGACTGTCACGGGCAACACAGGGAGACCGTGACCATCAGCACCACTGGGGCCACTGCGTTTTCAAAGCAGAGGGTAAGGTGGCAACAGCAGCCATGTGTCCAACGTAGGAGGATGGAGTAGGAAACCAGACACAGCGTTATTGTAGATGCCACCTCCCTTATCAAACTACTGAAAATATTTTGTTGGAACATTGAATGTTTGCTCCAATACCGTTTTCCATCATAATATTAAAAGAAAAGCTAATAGCTTACCTCTGATGTACTACCCTCTTTAAAAAAAAAAATCTAAAAGGCTGGCAGCACTCTGATTCCAGTTTTGTTATCAGAATTTTATTTTTTCACACTTATGAAGAGCAGCATAAGCACGTGGAGATAAGAAAAGAGGACATCATAGACCTTCCTCTTAAAACTTCACTACTTGATTGTTATAATGTAAATGGCTTTTTGAATCATCAATAGTTTTTGCCAGTAGTAGAGATTAATATTGCCATATGTGGGCAGTTTTTAATCCTGTAACTCACAAGCACTGAAAATAAATCAAAGTGCTGCTTTTCTCAGTGATTCGACTATCAAAAAAAAAATCTAACACTGCTTTTTTTGAAAGTACTAACTCCAAATAAATAGAAAATTTGTAAGTAACTTTAATAACCCAAGATATAAATAGGGTTGTGTACAAGTGCACAACTGAAGCTGGAATAACCATAGTTTTGAAAATTTGTACTGTGACAGGAAGGCTGTCCAAGATAACAGGGTATATATAAGAAGAATGTCACTGCTGAAAGAGTAATTTACAGTCATTAAGATGATGATAGCTCCACTCCTGAATGTGAAACAAACAAAGCTACAAATATATAGTGTGTAGTCAGTTTTTTATTCTTCAGTGTTAAATGATTATTTTTTTAATTTTTATTTATTTATTTTTCAATAGAACAGTTTTCATGGTGTTCACTGCTTGGTTTTTTATGAACAGCCCTACCTGGCTATTATTTATAACTGTCTTATTTTACCAACAACGAGAGAACCAAGATAACATGCAATTCAGAGATTTTGGCCTCTGCTCCTAACACAGAAAAATTATATAGGAAGTACTAAAAGAACAATGATGCAAAACAAGTTTTGATGCAGATACAAATTCAGGATTTCTGTTCTTCCCAGACGACCATTGGACTTACCACAGTGTCATCTCAATCATTTTCCCTTAATCCTACGTAGAACTGTAACACTGAATACGAACCACAAAACTACCCCTTGCCCTCCGATGTGTGATTCTGTACGGCAATACTAAACTGGCACCCACAACGGAACAGTTTAGGAATTAAAGATGGCTAGATGTCAAATACAGTTATTTTCAAAAATATATATAAAAAAATTAATGGACAGGCTCAATTAAAAACAAGACAAAACAAACAAAACCCGCAAAAACAACAGACCTAATCTAGAAAAAGAAACTGGCAAGGAGAGCTGGAATTCAACATTAGAGTAAGTTTTTTTTCCGTCAAAATCCCAATGTCACTGACAAGGGTTAAATTAAAACGATAGTTCTTCCAAACAGTCAATCATGCAGGGAAGCTGCCTAGATTTGCAACTACAAAACCACAATGAGCAGAACTTAATCAAACAGAGCAGTTGGAACAATTGAAGAGGAGGATGCTTTAAAAACTTCCCTTAGACAGAGACAAATCATGGAGGTTATCAGAAATCCGTCCAATCTTTTTTAACAGGACTTCAGTCAGGTAATTAAAGAACACAAAGAACAACAGAAAACAACAGGACTCCTGCTACACTTGTAAGATTGTACATGATCCTGCTTTGAAATAAAAACTTATGACACCTTTAGAGTAGGATCTAACCCAATTATAGTATCTAACCTACCATAACAAAAGCTTCATTAATATGGTCTTTTCCAACAGAAAAATCTCTCTATAGACAGACAAATACAGTATAGAGAAAAATACTTGAAAAATCAACACCATGTGAACAATTACAACAAACTAGAATTTTCTCTGAAGACCTTTTCCCTAAAGCTTTACAAATCATGGTTGGACTATCCTGATTGATGAAGATACAAGATCTGATAAAAGATTTTTCTAAGGATGAGACGGTCGTAACATTTCTTCTGTGTGGATTTTCTGGTGTGAATAATACAGCTGAATTTACACCACAACTGCATGTATCATCCACTGGCTAATGAATGAGTTGCTTCAGGGGCTTTTTCCTGGTAAGGACACTAATTTTGTTCTCTTCTCTCCCCAGCCCCATTTTCACAAAACCACAAGATGCCCAGAAGTGTCGATATCTATTAAGTTTGGGTGAAATTGGCCAAAAGATTCAAAAATCATTAAAAAACCAGATACAAACGATGTGGTTATATAGCCATCACTTCCAGTCCCTAAAAAACTTACCTAGTTGCAGTATCATGACTGTATCATTGAAGGCACGTGTCACTAATCCAAAATGTCTGTGTAGGGGATAGCACAGCACCCTTCTTCCAAAAGATACCAGGACGTCATGAATGCTAGTGAAACTCTGTGTGTATCAGTGAAAAAAATCTAAATTAGTCTGTGTGCTTTTCAATACAAAGGATTAGTTTTTTGTTTGTTTGTTTTCCCTTAAGGAAAAAACTCATAGCAGCATAGAAAAAAAAGCACATTTTTTTATATAGTATGCATCTAAAAAAAAAAATCTGTATTTTAATAGATATGGAAATCAATAGGATAAACAGAAACAAGACGCTGCACATTTAGTTTGCATGGCAGGATAACAGAAGTTCTATACGTTTTAGCGGTTTTGAATTAAAAAAAGAACGTAGAGAGCATTAGAATAAAACATCTAACTCAAGACTTTGCCATTCTTTAGATTAAAGCAATAAATTACATCTGTCCCACATTATTATAATATATTAAGGGGAAGCTATAAAAAGCTTTTTAAGAATAAAGAAAAATTAAAACCACATGATATTAACAAAATACATGTGTACATGTAAGTTCTTTAAAAATGATACATGACTCTGCCTTTCACGAAAGTTATAGATATTCAAGACAGGGACAAATGTATCTGCCAAGGGAAAGCAGTTCATTGTCCTCCTTTACCAGTGAGGAAGACCTCTAATTTACTCAGGCCAGAGGCATTAATGAGTTAAAAACTTTAAGAGAGTGATTTCTTTTCCAGTTTTCACTTTTCATGGCAAAATATTCCATTTATGAATTCAAATAAAAATACCTATTTCACCTTGAACTCGCAATTTATTAAAATTAATGAAAACGCTTTGCTGACAGACAGCACTTTTTCGCATTATACGACTACCTCAACCCATTTTTCATTTTAATGGATAGCCAGTAAGCATTTAAATAATTTATGTTTTGTTATTTAATATTTAGAGTCTAAGGTGTGCACATGTCATGCACAGCAAAATGGCAGTCAGTTCAAACAAATCATAGCTGAGGCAATTTTATTTACAGATTGATGAAAATACCCACCTCTACATGGTTTGTATAACAGATACAGTTATTAACAGCTTGGTGCCAGGAGACTGAATTTTCTGGGTGTGAAATATACTGTTGGCACAGGCTGCGCCAAGAACTGCTATATTATAGGATAAGCACGTGCGGAAAACTCCTTCACTACGTTAGGCTATGGATTGAAAATTTTGAGAGTTAAGGCAATCACTGCATTTTAACTGCACTCTTTTGTGACTTGCTACCACAGAACATTCGATTGGAAACGAATTAAAACTTACAGATCTATAAAACCAGTTGTCACAGAACAAGTTATTACTGAATACAACATTCACCACTACTAGAAACATTTTAAAGACTGAACCCAAAAATCCTCTCAGAAATTTCATTTTTGATCCTGCAAACCGAGACTTAGCTCAGCAGTTTCAGGAATGATGATGGGACAGTCCTTTCTAGCTTGTTGCCATCGTAAGAAATAATGGATTACAGGCCAGGTTAAGTCCCTTCCACTTTCAGCTCTGTAACAACTTAAATACACAGGCCTATGTGCTTTCAGTAAACAACTGAAAGTGCAAAGAACAGAATTCAGTTTGTTTCCTCTAGTCTATGTTGGTTTCAAAAGGCTAGCAGCAACAAAACGAATAGGGATGCGGCAATAATACTGAAGAGAAGGGAAAGCAACACATGTCCACTGACTGATTCTGCAGGAAACCCGAAATAAAAGTATTCAGCATTTGCCTGAAAGATCACACAATCATTAAAGTCTTAATGAGACACAGTTTTACAACTAAAGAACTGAGATCTTTATGCTACAAGAATATGGAATTCAGCTTCTCCATGATAGGTTAAAAAAAAAAAAACACCAAACATTTTGATTGAGTTCTAAGAGCTTTTCCTATCATTGGGTTTGTATTTACTTCTGAGCTTCCCAGTTCCACTTTCCAACATACCCTGAAGCCACAGAGCAGAATGAAGAAGCCAGAAGCCACCTGATTTGCAGCCAACAAAAGGAGGAAGCTAGAAGTGCCAAACGATGAACTAGAAAGGCTGAAGAAAAGCTCAGCGGTCAAAACCCCCAGAAGTGAACAATAAGCTGCTTTATTAAGGCCTGACATCTTCAAAAGTTAATAAAATATATATCTGAGGTAGGACTTAGAAGAACAGTAAGAAATTACATTCCCTGCTTTTTATGCCCTTTATATTTTAACAGCTTTAGCCAGTTAAATGGAAAGATACGTAGGAGTTCTGATCAAGGAGCTAGAAGGCTATTTTTTCTTGCCCTAAGCATGGAGTTGTACATACACACTGTGGAAATATGTGAAGAATAATTACAGTTACTGCTTAAATAAAGGTTGGGACTTGTGAATCAAGCCCAGGATCTAGGGACAGTGTGCAGATGAGCAGCTTTTTCATCGTGCCTATCCTTAGGTTTTCCAGAATGGACCAGAAGGCCCAGCACCCAGATAGACGAGAGGTCATTACTCCAGCCTCTTGAGGCTACTAGCAGCTGGGAGCCCAGAAGTCACAATCAGTTTCTCTCAATATTGATAAACAGATGACATACACTTAATTAATCTTCAATACTGGAAGAGTAAGCTTGCCACAAAAGCAACATACAATACCAAAACCAAATAATACAGCAAAATCATAATGCAAAACTTAAGTTTTAACTTACCTCCAGCCAGCACAATGTTGCACTCAGTTTCCTGACATTCCAAGATGATTCAACCTGATTTTAAGAGACCGTAAAACAAGCATTATCTAATTCAACATTCAAGACTGCTGGCAAACTATTTAAGATAACATTCTGGCAGCAATATAAGAACCTTAGTGAATACGAAGCAGTAATTATATTACGTGCATTGAAATGGCCACAGGACAGCATTAAAAACTGTATTGCAATGCAGATGTTAAATAACTGAATTGGTTTCCTTATTGGGAATATCTAGCCCATGCACAAAGCCTTTAAAATACAACAGCAATCACAGAAAAATGGTATTTTAGTGGCATTCTGGCCCTTTTCACCAAGCAACAGAAACTTGAATTAACAAAGCTCAAGCTAAAAAGCCTTGTTTTGTGAAAACAGCTCAAGAGTTCTGGCTTTCAGAGAGGGTCCTAAAGCCAGCAGTACATGTAAAAAGTCATTATTCCTAAAATGTGACAGATTCATAGTATTTGTGCGGTAGTGTGGTCTAGTGGGATGATTAGGGCAAAAAGCCAGGAAGCCTTGATCTATAATCCTGGCTCTTGTAAAGATTTGTGTGGCCTGAATATCTTCATTTTCCTATTAAAAAGAGCGGTGGAAAGCGGGGGAGGGTGAGGGTGGAACGGAACACAGTGTGTTTTCCACATATACAATATGACTATTGCAAAAATCAATAAAGATTTGTACAATTGTTTTCCTCGCATATTTGCAAGTTTGTGCAACACTAACACACAATACAACAACCACCTTAGATTATTCCGTTGAATAAGCAGGTCTGGACATTTCTGCCTGCCATTCTAAAATCCATGCCCTGCAATTCAGTCATTAAGACACAATGGTTTTGATGATATCTTCCAAAGCATTGAGAAAACATGTCATTGGTTAATATCAGCAGAGGAGACACTAGGCACAAAGTTGTATCTGGGAAGCAAGGCCATTTCAAAAAGGTAATCTTTCCACAGAACAGCATGGAATCCATTCTAAACTTCTGCTATTTCCTTCACTCTTTACATCCTGCAAAAGGCCTAGGACACAGGACACAAAATAAAGATGACTGCTGCTTGTGTAAGAGATGGGCAAACACCAGAATCCTGAAAATGGAAACATGCCATCCTACTTCCCTCCAGTGTTTGAGTACTAGAAAAAGAAAACACTGCATTAGGACATTTTTTAAATGTGTGTCCATTTTAAAAGTTTTAAGTGCCTCACTCTAGTTTCTGTAATGCCTCAGCAAACACCTTCCATACTCAGTGCATAAGCTTAACACTAAACACATAGTTTCAGTGCTACAGACTTAATGGTTTCCCGTGCTTTTTCAGAACCTGAATCAGTAGTGGTATTATTACAGCCAAACATACAATTATTTGTGAAATTTGCATTTACATAAATCAAGACACATCACACCACAAAACAAATCAGAAGCAGAATTGTCTGAAGTCTCCTGCATCTCCACTTCTCTCCTACAGCTAAAATGCTGCTCCAGAAGAACAGAAGTATTTAGAAATCATATTAAACCCTAAATACATCCCAACAGCTCAATCTAGAGATATAAAGTATTTCACTTTAACTTACTTGATTATATATTTCTAATGCTTGGAAGTAAGTTCACTTTAAAAGGCAAGATTCCTAAATGACAGTACAAGGTCCAGAGCTAAGTTCCTAGAACATACTAATTTTTTTTAACTTACATTTTTGTCTCCTTCATTGACACATATTTCATAGCAATACGCCAGAAGAATATCAATTAAACCAAGATATACATGATGGCGGCTTCTTTTATCCAGAAGATAAGATTTATTTGTGAACTTTCTCAGCTGCTCTCTCTCTTCTTCAGAGAAGACAACTATAAAAAGTAAAAGGATAACTGATTATGAATTTAAAGCTAGCACATTCATTTTAATAGGCAGTAATACTACTTTGACAGTCTCTTTAAAAAGTGTGTTACTAATCACAAGTCACTCATCACTCAAGAAAAAGTCTAACTCATTCTTACTTTTATTTTTAAGTCTTATTAAACTCTGATATAGTTCTTTCAAAATCAAGTTCCAACCCTGCAAAGTACTGCATGTACACACTAGCTATTTTGAACCCCTCTGAAAGTGCCAAGGATTTCTGTGGGTGCCTGGGTATCTTATACAGAGATAAATATACAATCAGGATCTGAGTAAATTGAAGTTTCTTAAGTTGTATGGGATAAAAATAAGAAAACAGGATAACAAAAACAAATATATTTTCTTATTGTAGAAAAGGGTAAGAACTAAAGAAACAGGAAAGGAAAGAAAGGAAAAGTATGATTCTGTATTTTTAAGCCTCATCAATTTTGACTTTTGACCTAGGCATGATTTAGGAGCTTTGTTTATGCTGTCTGATAACATCCTTCCAGTGTGTGAGGAAGATCAAAATCCTATCCTCACTGATGAAAGCTGCATTTCCTTCCAGAGAGTTATGGTATCCACTGTCAGTGACCATCAAATTTTGCTTACCTTCAGTGTACCTCATTTAATTAAGAATGGCTATACTGAATACGCCAGTACTTTCTCTTTGGGATGCATCAGGAAGATGACAACAACATACCAGGCATGCTGCGACAACACATCAAAGCATTTCTCTAGGAAACAGTGGTATAGACATGGATAGCTAAGATTGAATATTGAATGGTAACCCTTCTGAAGAGTACTTAAAACACTTCAGAAAGGATGGCAGAATTGCCTTGAAATAACAGTAGAGATTAAGTAAATAACTGACTAGAAGCCGTCTCTGTACAAATCCAAAATAAATCAAGAAGCCATTTACAATTAAAAAGCCAGAAGCTAGAGATAAGAGATTTTCATCCAGGCTGCATGGAATGCAGGCATTCCATGTCAACAGGCTCCGATTTACTGACTAGGACAGACGTAGTGAGCACATCTTGGTCACACCACAGAAGAAAGTTACAGGCACAAGGTGACTTGACAGGAGAAAGCAGTGTTACTAGTTTGACAGCTGATGCTTTCTTGCGTTGAGGAAGTCCCACTCCGTGATTTGTTCCAGCATCAGTAACACTGGAAGCAGCCTGAGTTTAAAATACCACTCATTCAAGGAGATTTCTCTGAGGACAGGAACAAGCCTAATGCAGCACTCGTTACACTTTCTAAACAAGCTCTAAGTGCCGAGGTTACCTCTTAACATACTGCACTGTAATTACTGGGGCGGGGCGGGGAGGCAGGGAAATGGGAACGAAACCTCACAATTAATATTGAAATGTCTCTCCAATTATTCTTTTATCACCCCTTTTTTGAGTCACTATGTTCTGACATACTTAGCTGGGGACAGAGAAAAGCTGTAGACAAGATGTACAAACTTGAAAGTGTGAAACCGTTAATGATTAACACACTGAGATGAGGCAGACACCTGGGAAGACTTTGTGGTTCCCCGAGACAGATCCTTGAATATTGCTGAGCCACCACCTTCCACCAGCTTCATCAGCATTGAGGACTTGACCTGATAACCCAACAATTCCTGTCCCAACTTGATTCCCTGTTTTCCAGTTTAGGATTTTGTATCTTCCACATTGGCATTTACCTCTGGAATCCTTGAGCTACTAATGACCCTGTCTTAACAATCCTACCTGGAACTTTACTGTTCTTATTTTTCTGCAGACTTTCTCACAGTTCTTCCTCAGCAGCATGAGCAAAGGTTATGCAGCTGGGAATAACCCATAATCCAGAGCCCTGGATCCTTGGGACACAGGCAGCTAAATTCCCAAGGGGACCTTACAGCACGGGTTACAGAACGGAACGGTTACAACTCCTAGTAAACCAGGTTCCTTTTTACACACCTTGCCCATTTCTCTATCATAAGGATGATGACTGCAAATGTACTTATAGATGTTTCTCCTCAAACACTGCTCATCATCATTTTACACAATCCATATTCTCAGGGATACAGTCTGCCTTTAAGACATGTGGTCTTTATCCCAGGAGGTTTCTACAAGCTTTCTAATTTTATGACATGTTTTGAAACAAATGTTTCAAAGGCACGTACATATACACACACCTCATCTTGAGACATAAAATTACAAATTAGGAAAAACATTTATGTTACTTCTTTATGAACTTTTTAATGTTTCTATCAGCTTCATAGCCATGAAATACTTGATTTAAATTCCTATGGAAACTTGTTGATGAGCTAAACATTTCTCTGGAGTCAAGCCAGTCTCCATTTATTTACAAGCTCCCACAAAAGAAATCCCAGCTTTTATATCATCTTGAGAAAGCCAATCTCTTCCACTTGCTATGATCTAGTACAAAGTGACAATTTAGCAAGACTATGGCAGTTCTAACTCTGTTTTCCTGTTAATGTAATGCAGTTCAGTATTACTCCTTAAATTACAAGTATAGATGATGTATCTATATTCTATCAGCAAATTTCTTTGTAAGTTCTTGAACTGCATTGATTCTTCAGTAAGTCACCTCTATCATTCATATTAAAATTATCCATAAAAACATATGTGTAATGTTGTAGCACATTTGAAAAAAATTAGTTTCTGAAAAAATAGCATAAAACCACTTTGTAAGCTGCTACAGTAGGGTGGGTTTAACGAGGTATCACAACAGGGTGTTTACATTATAAGGTCCAACTGGAAAGAAAAAAGGCATTTCCAATTTCAGCTAGCTTTTGCTAGAAAACCCTCTCCTGAAGTATAACACAATTTGTTATAAAATCATGTGCAAGTGGCACTTTCATCCTGACGAGAAGCACAAAAGAGGAGAGGTGAAACTGAAGCTAAACAAGAAAAAGAAATTCTGAAAAGCAAACAGCCAAAAGTTTGTTAGTGAAGACTACTACAGCAGATCAGATTCATAAAGCTTAAAACCACTTCTGATGCTTACAGTAATAAAGTTTGTTACAAAGAAGTTAAATAATTCCTTCAAAGCATGTGAGAATCTATCAGACAGAACACCAGTCAAACTGATATGCCAGCACTCTCATACTTCTAGGCCCACCTCAATGGGCTTGCTATGGTTAGCAGTCAAGATGCACACATCAGGAATGCAACTGCTCTCCTTCAAAAACTCATTATATTGAGTACTGGATCCGCTACTGAGAATCCGCTCTTCTTAATCAGTGACTACAACCTGAAGTTTGTTCTCGTCTCATAACTGATGAGAATTAACCAATGAGCTACTTGTCATCAGAGGTAAGAAACAGTCCAACACTGAAAGCAAATGAATTGACTTTTTAAAGTTTTACTAACAACTATTTGTTAGATTCCCTAAAAATCGACATTCTAGAGGAACATGTAAATGTGAACCATACTTCCCTTTTAAGTAGAAAGCAAAGAAATTCCTAGTGAATTTCATGAAGCATAGGAAATAAAGCTTTCTTCCTCTAAAATGCAAACTCTCTGAAGCATCAGAACATATACAACTGGACCACAAACACAAAAAATGCAAGTCTGCTAGACAACAGCAAACAAGACCTAGACTAGACAATTCCCAAAGGTAAATGTTACAAGATGTTCATTAACTCACTGCCAAGTGCCAGGTGTTCTAAATAAAATTCCTCTCTCTGGAGAAAATACTTCAATTTTACAAATAAATATCTATCCATTCCTTAAAGTTTTTGAATAATAAATCATCCAGGCCTGAAACTCATTATTAACATGTCAAAACCACCACCTACTTTGTTTTCTTAATTCAAAAATATGAGTACATAGTACAAGACTAAAAGAACAAGTAAAATTGTAATTACATTTTCTGCTATATTAAGCCTGTATTTTGTACACTTGCATTACCAATGTTTTACCTAACACCACCTGTGTACAACAATTAATATTAATCTAATGCAAAGCAGCATCTGCTACTACTTATCAAGTACTAAACTTGCAAGTTTTCCTGAAGTTTGATTTTAAAATGTCAGTGTCAAAATCATGCTTCTTCCAGCCACAACATAACCGTGTATTTACATTTACAAGTCTAAAGGAATCAGAGGAATTAATCTCATATACAAAGTTACCGTTAGACGACACTACGGAGATTGCCCTTACTTTTTAATCATCTCCTTCACTGATTTTAATCTAGCCATTCCTCATATTAAAAAAACATATTTCAAATTGCTCTTCAGTACCCAACTGTCAATGAAGTAAAGTTTAACCTGTAACGGGGAGGATGAGATCTGACAGCTAGATGGTTCTTACTACAGTCTTACTGATATTTTACACCACCGATCACATCACTTAAATCAAGCCAGTGTAAGATCTGTATCTCAAGACTACTGTGACACTGTTTTAAATGTGTTAGGGGTACTTAGATAAAACGTGCTCTCTAGACAGATAGTCGACTCAGTGGTCAGACTCAGAGAATCACAGTGAAGTATAGCTCAGAAAAGACCTCTGATAATCAGCTGGTCTAGCATTCTGGCAAAAGCAAAGCCTTGGCTTATGGGCCTGTCAAGTCAAGTCTTGAATTCCACAGCTATCGTTAAGCAAAACAACTCAGCAGAACTGACACACACCCCCCCCCGCTTTTTTTTATGTTAACTAAAATATTATGCTCCAGTATTAACTTTTTTAAACGTGTGCTTCTGTCCCTGTAAGTTAAGGAATCAGCAACACCAGGTAAAGGGGGAGATAAGTCAGCAGAAAGCAAATTTGTCAGAAACAAATCATAGAATAAAGTTAGCTATTGATTTAATCAGTAACTAACAAGTCTCTTTCCTTTTCAAGTTCTAAGATGTTAAAAGAGGAAAGGCAGCACTACTATGACTAGAAAGATGCCCAAAGCTTCCACTCTTCTAATTCTCAAATCAACATTTACAGCCCATTTCTTCCATATCACTTCTGACCTTCTTCCTCCAGGCATTCTCCATAAAGTCTCTGGACTCAGTCTTTCCTGGGTCTCGCAATTTCCTTTATACTGATTTTTGTCATTATTCTTTAAGAAATTTGCAGTTCCTATAAATCATACCAAAACCATACACCATTCCTTTTTCCATGTCTTACTGTTCTTGCCTTTTGAAATCTGAGATACTTTAAAATAGAGACCTTTCATTTGTATATTAAGAATTTTGTATGAATAAACAGCAATCTTTCCTCACATAAGAAATACTTGCTCTGCAGCAGAACAGTGCCAGGAAGGTACACTTGCAGCAAAGGCCCGGAATACTGAGTAAAACAGGTACACAGAAAAATTGCAGAAATCTGGTAAAAAAGAAAGTTATTCATCCTAAACTTATGAATCTACCAGTAATGGTATCTATTTGAGCAGAGACCTCCTGAAAGGTGGATCTTTAAGAAGAAATTGAAATTGCTTCTCATTCTGTAAAGAGATCAGAAAGAGAGAATGGTCACTGGTAAGCACAACAGGTTACCGTAAACAAAGTAAGTTATCCGTGGAGCGTATAAATGTTCTACTAAATGCAAATGTCAGCCTGACCCCTTTGAAGATTATTGTGTTGCCTAAAAAGGAGTTTTTATGGTTGTGCAATTTGAAGTAGAATAAAAAGAAACTTTTAACTAAGTTGAATGTGATTGCTACAAAACACAAAACCTTTCATCTGGAAACTGTAAAAGCAAAACTCTAATGTAAACTCAGCAGAAAGCAAGCTTTCCAAAAGTTTTATTCCCCCATGGGAAAGGCTGTGTAATTAGTTAGGCTTTATGGAGTACTACCTGACTTGCATTAGACATTGTAAGTGTGAACAAAATCTGGGCCTTTCAGCTTTAGAAAATGTCCACTTCAAAAATTATATTTTGCTACAAAACATGATGATGAAACCTGCTCTCTAGTACTTCTTCTGGTTCCTCAGCGGTACAGCAAAGGCAATAATCTTAGCTGCCTGGTAGCTAACAAACCTAGGGGGAAAATAAATAAAAAAAACACAAAGGGCAAGAAAAGAATCATTGCAATACGTAGTAAAATGTAAAAAAGGACAAAGGAAAGAAAAGGCACTTAGGACAATAAAAGAAGAAATTAAAAAAAAGACAAAATACACATAACATACACACAAGCTGGAGAAAAAGTAAAAAGGTTAATAATAATAGATTCAAGGTAAGGACAGAAGAGAGCTGAAGACTTTAAACACTAATGGGAAAAGCTGATCGAAAAAGAAAAAAATCTGGTAATGAGACATTAAAAAAACCTGATGATGTAAAAAGAGAAGAGAGAATAACCAAGGATGAAAATAAGAGCAGTAATCAGCCAAACAAAATCTTCTGTTAATTGTAATGCTTTTTTTTTTCCCCCATGGCAATCCGTATTTCTAGTTACTCCTAGAAGCCAAAGACATTATAAAGACAAAAGTAAACTAGTTTTTGGTTACCAGAAACCACTGAAGGTAAAAAACAAAAGGACATAAATATATATCAGCAAAAGGAAGAAACAAAAAAATAATTCTCTTGGTTCAGTGTTTCTGAATAAGAAAATACACTTTTAAAGAACCTGCTAATTTTTATGTGACTTTCCCACACTAAACTCACTTTTCCACCTAGTAACTTGAGGAGTCAGTTCCCAATGACATTCCTGATTGCACAGACACTCTGTACATGGGAACTGTCCTAATGGCAGCAATAACAGAGCACAAAATACAGGCACTCTAAAGGTACCAGGTGTCCAATTCTAGTGCCAATATCTCAATATTGTGGTAACCAGTACTGTAATCTACTGTCAGTTTTAACATTACCATTCCTACCTTCTTGGCTTATCAGTCATTTACCTCCAATGAACAACCCTCTAAAAAAGAAACACCATCTCACATTTGAGGGCAGTGGACTTCCCCAGTACGAGACATTGCACATCTGACAGCATGCAATTTCCATCCCATCTCTCAGCTTCCATGTGCTTGGGTAACAGCTTTGGACAGCACATGTTCAATCAAGAACATAACCTTCCTTCACGCAGGAAACACAAATGTTTCTGCAAGCTAGCCATGGCAGTACACCTACCATGAGTTGTACACGTTTTAAATACCCCACTATTTGGAAGCCTCTTTACAAGCTATACGCTTGGAAGTCCTCATCATGGAAGATGATGGAAACTACCTTATTTTAGATGCTTTCCTTAACACAAGACATGACTTTGGAACTCGGGAAGAGTAAGAAATCTGGGTACTCTTCATTTTATGCCTCTCTTCCATACACAATAAAAAGAAACTGCATGAAGGATTTCAATCCCTCCTTCTTTATGCCCTTAAACAGGTTCAAAAGTAAACAGGGGACTTTTGTATCTGATTTTTATTAGAAAAAAGTTTGACCTCACACTTACCTGCAGGGGGATATATGCACACAAAGGCTCAAAGACTCACCACCCATCACTTCATAAAACACCTTAAAATGTACTGCAATACGTATAACATCTGTGCCCCTAGAGCTTCTGTGCTCAAGTACCCTTTGGCTTTTTATAGCTAAGCACCAGTGTTCAAAGGCTTCTTACTACAAGCACACTCTAATACCAATGACAGCCTCCTTATCCTTCTAGCTGTAGAGCACACCTTGGCTTAATGCAGACAGACTTCTCTCCAGTTCTACTGGAAATAACCTAAAATTTCTCAAGTAATAAAGAAGGTCCTTCACTTAGCACAGTCCTTGTTTCTTTTATGTGCCTTTTCTATGTCACTTCCACTTACTAAGCATGCATACTGGACTACATATTAATGCGGATATGCAGTCAAATTGCATTCAGCTTGTGAGAATTCATGAATCTGTAACTCAGATTAGACAGACCATCCCTTTGACTGGAAAAAGCATAAAAGCAATACAAAACCATGGGGAACTCATCCTATTGATGATCAGATTCCAGGTCCAACAGCCTGGACCCACTTCCTCCCCTTTCCTATTTCCAGTCGTAAGAGACCTTCAAGTGGAACCTGTACTCCCTCTCATGGTGGTTTCTTTCACCACAGCTCACTCAGGTTTAGGAACCTCCAATGGTTTCAGATCCCAGCAGCAGCTTGCCTTCCCCAGCTACTGTTGCTGTTCAAACAGCAGTAACACTGTTATCAAAAATGAGGTCTTTGAGGGAAAGGGTGGGTTGTTGTCATCATTAACATAGCCCAAAAACCAGATGGCCTCTTATGTTACTTAAATTTCCTCAAGATCCACAGAACTACAGGAGCCTCTTCACTTAGCCACAGGAAGATCAAATTTTTCTGATCATCCTTATTAAATATACATCTGTTATAACAAATGGTTTAGAGAAAAGATGATCTTTTATGTAGCCCCATTTTCTGCGTAACTTTCATTAGCACGCTTGACATGCTTTCACGTAGTTTTTCTGTTGTTGTTGCCCCTAAAACCGAACAACATACATATGTGTTTTTCTTCAGAATCTCAGTTCAGAGTAAAAATATTCTTTAGCAATAAAATCATCCAGCAGCTCTTCATTTTCATGATATTCCTTAACACAGGCAAATATTAGCAGTGTTTCATTTACTAAGGAGTGAATGGATGAAAACAAACAAAAGAACACCTCATTATTCTATTTTCAAGCCTCTTGTACCTTTGTCCAATGCTTATGATGGATATAATTAACAATTCTGACTTCAGAGGCTGAAAAGAGACCAATAATGAAGATCAGATTACATTCACAGTAAAATACACAACATTTACCCAAATTCCATTGCTCTTCTTCTGTAGAAAATGTGAAAGTGCAGATATTATTCATGCACTAATATTTGTTAAGAACCTCTGGTGAAGGGATTATCATTATCTACTTTAGTAATATCGGATTTTCATACTACATAGGAAATGAACAAAGGACAATAAAAGAATATGCATAATAGTAACTTGTAATGCTCTCTACAATCGCTGCGTACAGAAAGGTAATCTCAGTCATCTACTATCAGTACTGTTACAAGGTCATCTACTAAACTTTAAACCATCCCATTTAGTTTCTAAATAGACACAAAGATTTTCCTTTGAAAAAAGTATCTGAGACCCATAAAAATAGCAACAGAATAATAAATACCATGAACTTCTGTCGTACTGTGTGAATAAAACAAAACACCCTACAGAAGACATGTCCATCAAACAGAGATAATGGCTGATATTAGTACCATCTTGCACAGATGATTCTTGGAAAACTTTCTGTGAAGTGTATGCACCATATTTGGAATTGGGCACAAAAAACAGTTTGGCTATTTTTTCCACTGAAAATACAACTAGGAAAGGGAGAACAATTACTTGAAAAATCTGAAAAAAAAGAGGAGATAAGCACCAGCAACAAAGGATCCACTATCACAATTACTACACAAAGACAGGCTTGATTTGATTTCAGATGCCATGACTTACTGACACTGGCAGCTCCTTTCAAATCTTAAAGATTACAGAATACCCTTAAAAGGGAACTTTTTCTTCATAGATACCTGAAATTCTAGAATGGCCTTTATGAACAGTTAACTCCAAAATTTGTTACGCAGACAAAAAAAGAGATCATGCACTACACTTCATAATAAACGGGTAAATGCTTCAGATGAAATAGCCAGTTTATAATATACTGTCAACTGCTCTACACACAACTGTCTCAAAGATTTCAGTGTATAACTGTCCCTCAGTGAAAAAAATTTTTCTTTGACCACAGGAGAAGCAACAGAATATTCCTCCAAGAAGAACAGTTAAGACTGAAAATTTTAGTGTAAAACCATACTTTTTCCTTTAAGAACAATAACGTAGAACATAATGTGGCATCACAGCAATTATCATTCAAGCAACAGGTGTGTGTGTGTATATATGTTCTCACCAAATGTATGAGTGTCATGTTCCTGATGACTTTCTCCCCGCAAGGCTATCATTTTTTTATGAGCATCAACCCACCATGGTTTGTACTTTAAGACATGCTGAATAGCTTCATCTTCAAAAAAATCAGCTCTAGGGGAAAAAAAAAAGGTCATATGCTATTTATTTCAGTTTATAGTGTATGTGGGTATACTTTAATGCATACATAGAATAGCCTGGAGCCAAGTCAAGTGTATTTTCCATACATTAGAAATACAACAAACCTGAACAGTGTCTGTTCTTTGCCTTAGAACCAGAAAATAATCATTATTAAAAGCATAAGCAATATTCGCTTATCTTATAGTACCCCATCCTTTCTTTCTCCGTCTTTCCTGAGCCACCTACAAGCCTAGGAAATTGAAGAGCTTGCAGCGTGACATGAAGGTGAACAAACCCAATTTGTTCTGGATGAATCTGAAGAAAAACATTACAAAGGGAAGACTTCTCAGAGGATGTCACTGGCAGCAAACTTCATTTTACTGGGAAGTTCTCGCATTTTAAAACTGCGTATACTTTGGGGAGGAAAGGTATGCAGCTGAAGGGTAAAGATAAAGTAAGGGTAGGGACGGACTTTTAGGTAAACAAAGGCATACTGTAGCAAGGTAAAAAGAGAAGACTTGTACATGAATTCTGGAATAGATATTACTTCCATCTCAGCACAAAGCCACTGTGGTAGAAATCTCAATATAGTAATTCTGGGAGAATTTATACTAAAGGATTCAAGTTCCAAGCCTCCTCTTAAAATTGTAGCTTTTTCTTCAAGCCACACAATAGTATAAATGCTGAGAACTGAAAAAAAAATGCAGGAGATTTCTTAATACCTTCTTAGTCATCATACAAAACCTGCCCAGTCTACTGAACACAGAATGTAATTTGCTTTACTCTCACACTGACAGATTATTTGATGCCTTCCTTCAGTGTCTTTATAAAGTAACCTAAATATATCAACCAGTGTACATTTTCCTCACAGACAACAGAACACTTCTGTTTGCCACCATTTCTCCCAGAGCCATCCTTCTCATCAGAGTACAAAGGAAAGCAATTTTTGTTGAAGAAAGTTTGGTATCACCAGCCATTAAACTAAATGGTTGTAGCTCATTTACTAGGCTAGAAAATAGGGTCTAAGATGGAAACTTAACAACTACTGTAATTTGCATCACATTCTAGGGTAGGAACTACTTCAGTTCTAGTGAAACCTGATTGAACCTAACTTGACCTGAAATACTCCAACTTGAAAGGTACAAAGAATTATTTCCACTTTCATCACGTGGGATGAAGCACAAAGAAGCACAAAGTCTTGGTTTGGAACTCTTCCTCATTCTGCTGCAAAAAAGGTTTCACGTGAAGAAGGCAAAAACCAAAATGGCCTAGACAAAATCTTCATATCTGCAAAACTCAAATTTACCTCCTCATAGACCGGGATGGTTCAGTAATCCTTGTTTCACAAGGGGAAAACAAAGTTCTGACATTTACAACCCAAAACGCTGGCAGGGATTGGTTGCTCATCTGCTGAAGAGCTGAACTACGAAATAACCTTCTGCAACAGTTCACAGCAGCCCCTGCTTGAATACAGGCTTAAGCAGTAATTAAACAGTAGAGTAATCCCAAAACAGATAAGCAAGGTCTTGCGTCAGTGTCACAGTTAAGAATCCCCTCTAAGTCCTGCTGTGATGAGACAAAGAAACAAATAAAAAGTAAAACTATTGTTTCCAAAAGTGATCTTAAAACCAATTTTTTATGAAAAGAAAAAGTTAATGTATTTCAACTGCGGTATTTTTACTTGACAAGGTAAAGTAAACAATACTCACAGGTAATGATCAGGCTCAAATTTGGCAGCCTCAGCTGCCAGGCGTTTCCTCCTGCGTTCATCTACAGGAGTTTGATCTGGATCCTTAATGTCAATAACATCACTGAGTTCATCCTGCAAGTAGACCAAAAATTATAGGACCGAGCTACAGTTATGATATGCAAGATTTATTTAGTAAGAGTTTACAAAGGATGCTTATCAGCATTACACTGAAATCCCTAGTTGCTCTTCAACCTCCCTTTCAAATCTTCCAAATTCAGGCTCCGTTCTGCAAACAGAACATCAAAATTCCACGAAAATCCAATTATTTGAAGCTCCTTAGAATTCATGATATTATGAAGTCTATTCAGGCTGTTTTATCATAAGGCAGGCAGGTTATTTTGCATGATGATGAAATTTGCAATATTTAACAAAAGCACACAATCACAACAAGATAAAAATCCTAGATACCGGTCTTGTGACTTTTGAAATTACTCTCACACTCAGAAGTGGCCATACATTAATTAGCCAGCAATTGCAGTGCCCACGCCTTAATTACTGGGCAACTGTAGTGCCCTTTTGAGCATCATTAAGTAGTAGTACATTAATGCTGGTGGGAAATGTACTTCTTCACGATTTTCATGGTAATAAACCAGTGTATACATCCTAACAGAATGTAAGTACTTTCTCCATAAATAGCAATCCTTATGCTCCAAACACTGAAAATGCTACAATTCATGCAATAACGAGTTACAGAGTTACATAATCAAGTTGCTTTAAACAGCTACAACTTAAATTGCTTAGAGTAAGGCCACTACAAAAAAAAAGTTATCATCTACCATTTTAATAAAAGCTCTGTATACTATGAACATTATTATACTACCTAGCATACTACAGGTTGTAGATTAGCTTCAATCTATTAATGAATTAAACTGCTGAATGCACCAGAGCAAATTAATTGCATTTTAAAGCTCTAATCCTACCAATTAATCCACAAAAGCAAATTTCAGTGCATCAGCATAACCCTAGTAAATCCCACAGATACCAGGTGGGCAGACACCTTGAAGACTGCACACTTCAGAAGTTTTTGTCTTGTGAGAAAATCAAGTCTAAACCAAAAAGTACAGAGAAAATTACCATGAATCTGACAAAGAAAAAAATTTTAATGCCACAACCATAACATTAGCCAGCTTTATCTTGTACTTTTTGTTAATTGAGTAATTGCTTTTTAATTTAAATATAAAATTCATGGCATCTGAAATACGCTATACATTGATGTTAAATATGTTTGAAGTCAGAGCAATACCCAAGACAAAGCAAAAGTGTTAACAGCCTGTAGACAGTTTGCAGCCTGCCAGAATTATTCACCTGGCACATGGCCTACTCCATACAGGCCTTTTTCTCCCTGCCTTCACAGGCTAGCTGAACCGTGCTGGTGACAGTAGCTCACCTCCAGAGGATGTTTTTACCAAGGACCCATTCAACCCTGTCCTCTAACACTGAAATTATTACAGAAACAGATTGGCCTGTTGACTCTGCTACACAATTAACTCAGTTTTGACCACCGCCACTTATGCAGGAACAAGGATTTGTCTGTACATGCAAAAGCAGAATATTCTCAGTCACTGGATGGGATAATGGAGAACAGTTATCTAATGATCCCCTCCTGACTATGGGATGAGCCAGGAAGCCAACCGAACAAGAAAGTTACCCAGAACTTTTATGATAGGAAAAGACAAAAATGCATTTACCTGCAGCCTCTGGAACACCCCTGACCGCAAATTCCCAAAACCATAACGGTACTGTGGTGATAGAGTGCTTTCTGCACTTTCTTCATAAGGGGTCTGCTCTATTTCCCAGTCAAACTCTTCTTCTTCCTCCTCCTCCTCCAACAACTCAGCAGAGGCAGCTGTATATATTGCATGGTCAGAGAAAGAAAATTATTACATAGAAACTATGTATGATCTAATAGAAAGACAAACACCGATAACACAATAAGCCTTTCATTTTACTACATCTTCTAAGAAATGTTATACAACACTGGGTCATACAGGCAGATGCTTGTGTCAGTAATCCATAGGTCCTGCTTCAAATTCTCCAGCTTTCAAAAATGAGGCCCAGGAACACTAAAGGTTTTAAGTACACTCACTCAAAGACTGAAAGTACTGTTCCACTGATTTCAATAAGATCAGAATTGGATGCTATGAGAACCCTGACAGGAGTAAAATGATGTCATCAGTAATTCAAGATAGATATCAAAAAATTAAACACAGGCAGTCATCCCTTCTTGTCTGTTAAATATTGATGTTAAGCAAGTCATCCACTAGAACCATTTGAGCTAAAAGTCCAGTTGTGCTAGCTTGTAGGAAGGAGATTACTCAAATGTGTGTGTATATACAGCCACTAGAGGGGTACAAAGATCTACACAGGATTAGCATACCTTAAACACATTTTGAAAAAATGTAAACATAACTAAGCCTATAAAGATGACATACATATCACTTACAACACATTTATTTCTATGCTTATCCATACTTTCAGATTCATTCACATTCTTCTCATACCTTGGACTAGGCAATAACAGAAATATTCTATTGTTCTACATATATCACCATGTAGATCCATAACTACTTCATTATGTACATCAATCACTAGTATAAGCAAGATTTTTTTGGTCATACCTATCTCTTCTACTAAAGGTTTTGCTGATCGTGATTTCTTTGGTGCTAAAAGAGATGTCAGCATGTCCAATCCCTCAAAATATTGGCCAGGAATCTCCTTAGGTAACCAAATTGTCAAAGTTCCTTAAAGGAAAGGCATAGTATAGTTATTGCATTAAAATATTCAAGACAAACAAAAATGTGCATTTTTCCTCTAATGAAAAAGTCTCACAGAAAGAGACACATGCAGGTAACACTTTATTATGCATCAATCTCTGTGTGTGTTTTTAAAGTTACTTCACAGGTTTCACAAAAATCAAAGATTTTAATGATAATGCATGAAAGAATATTTAACCAGTTGTTGCCTCTTAACTCACAGTGTATAAACACAAACCAATAGAATACAAGCTTCATTTTAATTTGAATCCTTCCACCAATCAAGCAACCAACAGAAGATCACAGGAAACCAGATTCAGCAATCTGATTATTGTCTTAAGTCAAGCATGTAAAAAAGACTTTGCAAGAAGCAAATTATAGGGTTTGCTGCTGGGTTTTTTAAAATTAATACATTAATTCCAAAATGTACATATTTTATTGCAAAAATACCTTCCACCTTAAGGTGTGGAGAAAGGCAAATGTATTCTCTCTTAAGACATAGCCAAGAGACTGCCTTGGGATTATTTCATTTCTACTCAGCTCTACCTGACTTCTTTGCAGATTTACTAGACTAATGATCTTGGTACAGTAACATGTCTAGTCCCCACAGGGTTTGAAGAGGACTCGTACATAATTTTTTCATTATTAGGACAGTTCTGAATACGTCCGTTGTGTTTAAGGATGGCCTAAAAAAGTACAATAAATCCCGAGCAAGAGTTCTTTATACTACATAAGATGTGAGAAACTTCACATTTATTTACTTCACTAAAGTTCTATGCAATTCCAGTGCTGCAAAGTAGAAATTATTGGAGACTTAGTAGCATTTTTAATGACACATATACTAAGAACATTAACTAATACCTTTGTCTGTATTATAAGATGCTTTTTCTCTGCCATCTTCAACAACTCTTCCAGGAAGTGTCAATCTGCAGGCAAAAAATTAGATGCCTCACTGAATGCCTAGTTCTGCAACTTAACATCTCAGCCTATAAAAATGTAAGGCACATTACAAAGGCAGTACAAAGGACTTCACAATTTAAAAAACTCTAAGCTAACCCACAATGACAGGATATGAGAACTCATCCAGACTTCTTGTAGCGCTTATTCAGAATAACTACTTCACTGCATCTTACCAGTCCACTAAAATACCTGGGGTCTACTAATGTATATCGGGGAAGCATGTGCAAGAATACAGAAAATAGAAAATAAGAAAGGTTAATAGCTTATCAGCTCTTACATGCCACAGGTTCTCTTTAACACTTTGATACTGAGATTGCTTCTTGTTCTTCTCCTATAGAGTAGTGGGGAACTCGCTATCTAGAGAAAAGATACAGCCTGGAACCTCACTTCCTACTGCCTCCACTCACAGGACTTTTCTCCCCTTATGTGCATCAAAATCCATTCTTTACCAGATAT